TAAGTATAGACAGCCTCCTGGCAAAAGAACTACTGTGATTCCAGTGGGAAACAGGCGAGACAATGTGGCCAACATCTGCCCACTTATGCAGTGCCCTGTAGCAGCAAAGGCATATGCTAAAGTCCACCTTCATTTGCAAATCACACAAGTTTCACTGAGGTCATGTAATAAAAACAAAAGCTAAAAGCATTCACTATAAAACTTGTAACATGAGAACAAGAGGAAGCCTTTGGAGTGCGAATCACTTCTGTAAAATATCTGTGTTCCTAGATTTCCATTTTTAAGAAAATATGAAACATTTAGGAAGTTGAAGGCTGTAGTGCACTGTTCACACTTTAGATGGTTTAATGGGCACAATTAAATTACTACACCATATCCCCAGGTATTTGGTTGTTTGTATGTAATATTCAATACAAGCGTTTCAAGGGCTCACTTTTGAGAAGAATATTTTTAGGAAGTCATAACTGAGTTTTAAGCCTCCAAAATGTTTAGAAATAAACAGGAGGCGTGTAAGTTTTCATAATCCTTAAAACACAAGCAAAAATTTTTAAGTGCCTTTCCAAAAAGGTGCACATTTGTAATTCACTAGTCTGAGGTCATTAAAAAAAAAAAAAAAAACCAACAAAAAACCACTTTCAGATTCTGAAAAGCTCAGGAAAAGTTATTATCTAGCATTTGACAAAAATCTAGTTTTGAAAACATTTTGACTGTCAGATATAAAACTATGGGTGCAGGCACTACACTTTTATTAAGTGGAATGGACATATATATGATGCACATTTATTCTACAGAAAAAACTGTTCTCTGATGCAAAGTTACTTCTGTAAAAGTCAGAAGTAAATTTACTCCAAGGACAATTGCTCTGGTACACATGCTGTGTATCCACTAACATGGTAGTAGACAAAACTAGACAAAACAAAAAATGGATTTCTCCCAGGACAAAGCCTTTTAATTCTAGAATCCTACAGATGTACAAGCCCATCTTCCCATTTTAAGTACCTGTAAAATACCAACACAATACTTCTCTCAGACAATCATCTGGGCTAATTGTATACAGCTGCAGCAGTCAATTGCCATTCAAAATGTATGTAAATGACTGCTCCCATAGTTTCATAGATTTAGGGTTGGAAGGGACCTAGTAGATCTTCTAGCCCGACCCCCCGCCAGGGCGGGAGAACAACAAAACCCCAAAAACAAAAACGGGACTCAAATGAGTCCAGCCAGGTAGGCATCCAGCCTCTTCTTAAAGACCCCCAGGGTAGGGGCCAGCACCACTTCCCTTGGAAGTTGGTTCCAGCTCCTAGCCGCCCTAACTGTGAAGTAGTTTTTGCGGATGT